TTGGATTTTTGCTTTCTAGCTAGTCTTTAGATCTTCGGCTCTGCTTTTAAGTACAGCTGAACCTTAGGACTGAAGGTTTGTTTGCAAGCAAATTCAGTGCAGACTCATGGCAAGCAAATTTGAGAGACTGAGCTAGCTGATGGCAGATAGATAGATCACTGAATGATTCTGTGAGCAACTCAATCTGCCTGCTTTGCCTGGTTTGGGATAAAAGTTGCTCTTTTTTAATAAAAAAAATCAATATTTACATACATGGTGTGTTGTGAGTTAATTTTGTGAGTTTGCTTGCTACCAAATTTTATGAGTTTGCTTGCAAGCAAATTTTATGTGACAGACTGAGCTAGCTGAATGAATCTGTGATTCTGTGGGCAACTCGATCTGCCTCCCTGCTTTGCTTGATTTTGGTTAAAAGTTGCTCTTTTTTTTATAAAAAATTCAATATCTATATAAATATTCATAATATTTACATACAAGCCATGCCCAGCGAGTCACATGACCACCTAGCCACACCCACAAATTAGGCCGTACCCACCAAACCAGTTAGTGGTCCCTGGGATCTAAAATTATGAGTTTGGTGGTCCCTGAGTTCTAAAAGGTTGCCGATCCCTGGTCTAGAGACTTCCAAGGTCCAAGGTCCCTTCCAATTCTGCTATTCTACTCTACTCTACTCTACTCTACTCTACTCTACTCTACTCTACTCTACTCTACTCTACTCTCTACTCTACTCTACTCTGTTCTATCATTGAATTGTATAAGGCTACTGCAAAGAGGGTGCATTCCTTAATCACTCTTTATTGAGTACATAACCTAAGTTGCATAAAAGTTTCATGTCAGCAAAGCTAACTAAATGTGGGATGCTGGAAAGGACAGTTTGCAGTGGATGGCCAAGCAATATGTTGTGGAGAGAAACTTATAAATTTGACACAATAAATGTTATTGTATCAGTGCCTTATGGAACAATAAACCTACATCGAGCCTGAAATGTTAACATTTAAAACAGTCCTTCCAATCTAGGATATTCTCACTGACTTTTATTATACTCAAATGAGGGGGTGGGGGGTGTACAAGGTTTTAGAGCAAGAGACTGGCTAATTTTTCCAAGAGGGATGTTGGAAGGAAAAATACTTCTGGCATTCCACCGGTTTCCTTGTTGCCAAATTTGGCTTTTGATATCTGTGTAAAAAGATGTTTCCATTGATTCTGCAGAGAACAGGGACTGGAAGGAAGGGTGTTCACTTTTTCATTTAAATCCCTTTCCTTCCTCGAAACAAAACATAAATCGAACATGAGTTCACAAGACTGACATTTTTCTCTTTATTTTTTTCTTCTGCTTAAAAGATAACAGCTATCCGATAAATGCTTTGCTTTTGATCCAATCTCTCTGCAGAGAACGTAATGAAAAGGATGTTCTCATATATCCTATCCCCCTAATTTAACGTATAAATCACTTCCAAAAATATGATCCAGATGGGCTCGAAGGAAGGAAACCAATTAACTCACACTGCCTTACCATCTGACACATTACTTGTGATAATAAAAATACAAACAACATGGTCAAACAATAAGGTTCTATCTTACACCTGACATTTCCAATTAGTTTTAGCATTCAGTGAGCTCTCCCGCCTCCTCCTGTGGCAAGCAGTCTCTTTTGCCGTCCATATTAGCTCCATATTTACAGTGGGGGGGAACACCTTTGCAGCTGGAGCAGATTTATTGGCATCTTCCAGTGGAGCCTCTTTGGAACTGGCACACACTGTCCACATCTGGTTTCTCCATTAGATTTGCAGCACATTTGGTTTTCCAATGCTCCGGTAACCGAGACACTGCCAAGCCTGGAGGGTAGAGGTCTCATGGGCTGTCTGCAAATGTTTGATCTGTGCCTGTGGACCACTGCTGATTCTGAAGCTTTTTCCTTTCGATGGGTCTCCTAGAAAGATAGCCTCTGGCATTTGGCAAGGCTCTGATTGGCAGGGAGGTTTTCACGGTGAGATAATTAACACTACAACCAGACCCTGCCTGTTGAACGGCAAAAAAAAAAAAAAAAAAAACGCTACAAAGTTTGGTGTCGTTGCACAGAATACTATTATCCAGAATATATCTGGGGCTCAGTTTCAGAAGGAGCTAAGGGCCAATCGAGCCATTAAGGACATTGTTCTCTTTTCCCTGACTTTAGAAAGAATCATTTAATTTACCTTGTCAGAAATAACACAAATATTCCTCAAGAAGAGGTGACTGTGAGCTAGGCAATGCAAGTTCATTATTTTTACTACCTTAATGGCTATTTTAAGTATTTTATATGGCTTATGTTTTGATTTTAGGCCTTTTCTTTTACTGTAAACCATGGTAGTCAGTGTCAGTCAGTTAACTTTTTAAATATTTATATATGAGAGTTCTTTCAAGTCAGATTTTGACTCAAGCAACTGCCTAGACCAGTCCCTGCAGTTTTCTTGGCAAGGTTTTTTTGATAGTGATTTGTCATTGCCTCCTTCCTAGGGATAAGATAAAAGGACTGGCCCAAAATCACGCACCTGGAGTTGTGCCTCAGGTTTCTAGCCTGGTGCCTTAGCTACCACACCAAACTGTCTCTCAGTCAATCTTGGCAATTCTTTATCAGGAATAATTTTATTCGACGGAAGACTCCCAGGAGCAACTTGGATAGATTCAACTGTTTACTGAGAGCGAGAATGAAGCTGATACACAACAGAATACAGTACTCTCTGCTTCAGAGTTTAATCTGAAACTATTTCTTCCCATCTTGCCAAACAGATGTATTTGAGGGCTTTGTGAAGTAACTGTACATTACACAGAGTCACTCTGAGGGTGAGACCAGCGTTACCTAAATTTGACAAAATAAAGAAATAAAGTATGTTTACATAACTGTTCACTCCAACCTGGAGATTTTTGGTTGCCAAGTCACCATACCCAACTCTTAGAGATATAGATAGATACTGTATATGATGATGTGTGTGTGGGGGGGGGGGAGGGTGGGGGGGGGGAGGGGGGGGGAGGGAGGGAGGGGGAGGGACTGAGACTGAGTGAGTCAGTTTTCCAATCAGTGCTACTTTCCAGACTGGTTGAATTACAAAAAAAGAACAAAAGTTTTTTCCTCAACTATGAGGAAGTCCACAAGGTTGGTGACAGCTACTCCAAGGCTAGCTATTTATTATTAACCTGCAGAGGGATTCTGAAAATTGCCATCCAACACACTAGAAGGCACTAGGTTGAGAAAAGCTGGTATAGAGTAAAATAAAGTTGTATGTCCAGTTCTCTTGCTCAGCATCATGCAAGACTCAGAAAAGGATACCTTATTTCTGGATATAATATAAGCAAGATTTGGAATAAGGGAAGTGCTGTCTGAAATCGGAGGGGGTGGGATTAGCCTAGGTCTTCCATACTGACATCTTTCATCCTTGGGGAAGGTTGCAAGTCCCCAAGGATTCTCCTGTAGGCAATTTGAAGATAATGTGGATAGCAATTCATTTTCTGTTGGAGTGCTAATTAGAATACTGGATAGATGTAGCATATGAACTGGGTCCCTTCCTGCAAGAAAATGACATTAAAATGTATACCTCCAGGCGTGACTAGTACAATGTTTGCCTTTCTCTCTGTTCCAGAAATTATCCTTAGTTTAAAACTCAGCTCCTAGGCCAGTGATGGTGAACCTTACCGTCCTCGTGTGCCAAAAGTGTGTGCCAGCACCCATAAGGCAATGCACACAGGGCCCCCATGCCCCCTGTGCATGCGCCCATGACTCCCTGAGTGCATGGGGACATCTGCGCATGCGTGTGCATCTCCTGCATGCGCCCTGCCACCACACATGTGCGGCAGCTACCCAGCGATCAGCTAGCAGGCAGCACATGTGCCACAGGTTCACCATCACAGTCCTAGGCTAACCTCTAAAAAAACTCCAGTAAATCACATCATGCTTCTTCCTAAATCCTATGGAATTTATCATAGTAGCAATTGTCTCCTACCACTGAAGATGTACAATTGTCTCCTACCACTGAAGACTAAATTATTTGAATCTTTTTTTAGATAACCCACCTTCCTATATCTAACACAGTTCATATCAGTTACACCAAGTCATCCTATGTCTGAATTTTGCTCTGTGCCAATGATTTAATCTATGCCAAGAAGAATATATATATTAGCAATATACTCTCACATTTCTAAAATACATCTGCTAGGCTCTAAACTTTAAGGCCCTTTCTGTATAGGAATGAGCTGTCATCCTGCTGCGGAGAAGTTCTCTGGATGTAAAATTAACATTCTCATGGATCTTTGTTATGCCCTAGCATATAACTTTTATATACTGTTGTTGCTCTCTATCCCCATCTAGTGGCTGGATGGAGAAACACACCCCAACATATGATCTTTATATACTGTTAATGTTATGTAGCCCCATCTATTGGCCGGAGAGACAAATTCCCAGTGTATTGTTTGAAGCTGACCCCACCCTTTTGTCCATCAGCCCACGCTCTCAAAACAAGTGCACACTAGGAAGCCAGATTCCATTTCCTCTAGCACTTGGAGAAGGCAAAAGCACAAAGAAGAATCCATCTTAATCTGTAGCAAATGGTTATCCAAGGACACTTCCCACACACAGAGCATCAGCTGGTGAGATTTCAATTGCTTGTATTTATTAATTGTTATGTTCAGCAGTAACTTAATACTGCTTAATCTTGCATTTGGTTTTCATTTATATATCGCTATTTTCCCCAATTTCATCATAACCTGTTCTTTCAATAAAGCATTCAGATCTATGCACATGGTCTATTTTATTGGATAGGTGGGTTTAGCTGTACGTCGAGCTGTACACAGACTAATGTGTAGTGAGGACAGAACAGTCTTCCTTCATTGTGAAGCATAATTTCAGTAAAATAACTTCTTTTGTGAAAAACAAAAGAAAAAGTACACAAATCGTACTGCACATTTTTAGAAGGAACTCAGATCAAAGCAATATTTTTCCCTATTAAAAATGGCAACTTATTGTGACCAACCTCAACTGGGAATCTCCTCCCATTGATGCTATGCTCTGAACCAGCAGATCCATTACTCTGGCCCCAGTGAAATTCAACTTTTTCTGCTTTGAATCTTCCCGGTAGTCCAGCACCGCTGATGAAATAGTCATCCTTTAGAAGGATGGCAACTGGAAAGAGAAGAAATTTTAAAAAAGGTCAATATTGATTTTTTTTTTGCCATAGATATCATACACACATTTGTTATCATTTCACAAACCATTTCTGAAAAACCTCGCCCCAAAGACTGCAGGGAATTGCCCAGGCAGACTGTGAGTATTGAACACAATTGAAAAGAAGAAGAAAAACATGGATCTAACATTTCTAATATAAGAAACTCAATTTTGCTTCTCGCTCTGAAGTACAGATAGTCCTTGACTTACGACTAATCGTTTAGCAACTGTTCCAAATTGTGATGGTGCTGAAGGAAGGGACTTATGACTTGTGCCCAAACTTATGGCAGTTGCAGTGGCCCCGTGTTCACATAATGGGGCTGGACAGCCTGCTCACACTTATGACCATAGAGGCAATGCAATTTCCCCTATTTGCTTATCTCTCTCTCCTTCCCATCTCAGCCACCCACCTGTCTTGGCCCACTCCCTGACTCCTCCCCTTATTTCAACAAGGTCTTCTCACACCTTTAGATTTCTCAGGTATGTATTCAACAAATGTACAGGACTGAGAAGATTATTTGGCAGAGAACTCTAGAAAGAAAACAATCTGACACAGCAAATAGGGCTCTCAGAGGATCTTCTACACACTTACCCCAGCAGATAATTTTCAGGCCTTTCTGCAGAATTACAAAGTGAAGAAAACAAGGTTGCACTCCAGCACCTTGTTATATATGAAAGTCCCACTGAAATTACACAGCTATGCGCAGTTTGCCATCTTGACTTGGGAATTAATTAAGCCAGAAAGTTAATCTGCCTAAGAAGCAGTTGGGAGAAATCTTGTTACTACAGATCACTGTATCACACATATGCACTAATTGTGTGTGCATGCATCCTAATGAATTGATGCAATGAAGAATACTACAGCATGGTGTATATACAGTGCATTTTTGCACTGTGCTTCCATAAAATGGGATACAGTTGTTACAAAGATGTAACAACTGCAGACAGCTAAAAATAAAATTTCTGAATGATACATGCACAAAAAACTAGATAAGACTGAATGGAAAAACAACAATTTTGGGTTAAAAAAAGATCCAGAAGGTAGCTAAATGAGTGAGCCGTGGGGTTCTAGTGGTTAGAATGCAGTATTGCAGGCGAATTCTGCTCACAGCCTGGAGTTCAATCCTGATGGGGCTCAAGGTTGACTCAGCCTTCCACCCTCCTATAGTTGGTAAAATGGGGACCCAGACTGTTGGAGGCAATATTCTGACTTTGTAAATTGCTTAAAGAGCACTGTATATACTATGTATATACTAAATTGCTTAGACAACACTGTATATAAATACCTCTATGAAGTGCTATATAAGTGTCATGCCCCAGTTGGAGTCTGACTCCGATGGAAGAGCTGACAGAGAGTGGAAATGTGGCTCCGGTAGTTGTGGAGGAAACTGGGAAAGGGCACAGGCCAGATGGGCATTCAGAGGAAGACCCAGGCCCATCCCCTCTTCATCCTAGGGCATGCCGGGAGAAACGGATAAGGGAGAAATGTGAGTGGCGTGGTCTATGGGGGAGGAAGGGGCCCTGATCCCCTTCATGGGCTGTAGCTGGGAGACTGTTTAAAAGGACAAACTGTGCATGGCAAAGTTGCTGGAAGCAAAGCATGCATTATTCTTGTCAGAGCTTATCTGTGTTTTGGCTTCCTCCCAACTGTGCTTGCTCCAGTTATCTGGTAGAAGTCTACAATTAATAATCCTGGCCTGCTGTATTAATTCCTTCAGTGTGGTTTGTGTTGGGTTTTTTTTTTCTAATTAACTTTACTTTGGGTTCAGACTGCATTTACTTCCTCCATAGACTGTTTTCTTTAAGAGTCTGATATCCAGCCGAAGATAATTGGACATTGGGGTCAAGTTGGAGGGACTTTCTTCTATTTTTGTGACTTGGTTACTTTTGTGTCACGCCCCAGGTCATCACAATAAGTCTAAATACTATTGTTATCACTAAATGTGGACCAAGACTATTCATAGCAGCTTTCCTAAATGTTCTGAATTTTTTATTTCATCTCTGGAAGTGTTCTATTTACAAACAATGTACATAGGATATATCTACATAGCACTTAAGAATCTTAGATACTAATACTATTAGGACAAAATGTACCAAAAGATATGGGGAACTATAGTTTTTGCTGGCCAATTTACTATTAATTGTACAATCTAAATAATCTGGAGAGTAACCTGATTGATTGATGATACCTTCAAGTCAATTTTGAGTCCTGGCAACTTCTTGGCAAGCTTTTCAGTAGGGCTGAAGATTTTCTTCCTAGAGTTGAGGGAAAGTGACTGGCACAAAATCATTGAGGTGGTTTTGTGCCAAGGTAGGACTAGAACTCAAGCCTCTCAGTTTCTGGTGTGGTGTGTTAACCTACACCAAAGTTGCTCTCTCTTGGCAATTAGGTACACATCTGCATGTACCAATAGTACCTACAATTAATTCATTAAGAAAACAAATAAATAATGTGACTCAGTAACTTTATTGACTTTCCAGGATCATTCCCTTGCCAGCATCTTTCTAGATCCAAGCTACTGCTTTGTCTAGTTCTTTGTCTTAGATTCTAGATCTAAGATAAAGAAAAAGCACCACAAAGAACAACAGTTGGTTCTGAGCTGTTCTATAATAACTTCTTTATAAAAACATTTTCATAGCAAATAAATATTCTGAAAAGGGTTTTCGAACGTTGAGAACCAGTAGGAATAACATATTGACACAAGTCCACAAATAACAAAAGTTCACATATAATTATTGCATAGGCTGAAATACCATTTGGCTTATCTGAATCCAGTTTGGTTTCTTAAGAATAACATTAGGAACAGTTCTGTTGTTTGACTAATGGAAAAATACCTAGGTATGCTATTATAAATTAAATGAATTAAAATATGGTGCGGAGATGAAGGTCATATATTTATGCAGCATTTTTTGCAGATTTTCTATGTCAGAATGAAAACATGTATTAAAATGAAGGTAAACCTGTGTATGGATGAGGAGGAAAGAAGCCAATTAAAGAGAGGTTTTTCCCGTCTTTCTTTTTAAAGGTGACGTGTACTAGGAAGCAAAAAGAGACCTAAAGAGGGTTTTTCCCCACTTCTTTTTAATGTGTGACAAACTAATGGACAATCCCACAAGAATATAGACTTCTCTGAATCTGTTACAATGCACAGCGGGATTCAGCTGCATTATATAAATATTTGATGATCGCTAAATCATTTATGGCTCTGTCAGGGGTCATTTTACTTGTTTTAGATTAATAATTAAAAGGATAATTAGGAGAATGTATAATCTGAAATGTTCATCTAATTGTTCATTTTACTGTTATCTCTTACTGGGTTTTGTAGAATCTCTCTCTCTCTCTCTCTCTCTCTCACACACACACACACACACACACACACACACACGTCTACGCATATCTGCCTGCACCTTGGATGTCTCTTTTCTCTAGTAACACTATCTCCAATATTTTACAGGCATGAAATATTCCTGGAATTGTGCACTAATCTATTTGCAGATGCACCCATCAGGTATCATTCTGTGTATTAAAAGTGGCATGGATTATCTGGAGAATTTTTTATTGTGCCATAAACTTCACAAAAAACAAAAAACACCTGGGTTTTCTTACAAAGATCAGTAACATGACAGGCCCTATCTTCCAGTTTATAGAAGACGTGAGACACAAGGAAAAAAATGAAAATGCAGAAAATCTAAAAGCAAGTTCAGACACCTATTTCAAAATTCCTGTTCTTTTTTGTTTTGTTTTTGACAAGTGACTTTTGATAGGTGACAGTTACAGTGTGCCTCCTGAGTTCTTCCTTCAGGAGAAGGGTGTGACAAATGAAAGCAAGAAGTTAGTCTGACAACAACATTCGTTGTAGCCAATCCTATATTTCTACATTTGGAACTTGGGATCAATTAGGTGTTATTTTATATATATATATATCAGCCATTGCCTGGGCCAGAACCCATTTCAGACTGTATTTCTGAATTAAATTGAATAATTTTTTGGTTTTAGAGTGTCTGGTTCTCAATTCTGGCTAACTCTCCTCTAACCTTGGGTCACTGAACTTCTGTGGGATGGAACAAAAGGAAATTGAAAAAAAGTAGCTGATCTCTCAGAAGAAGTAGTACGAGTGTCCATTTTTATTTTTTCCCCCCTGCAGTTTAACAGACTCACCGCCCTTCGATGATGGTGAAGTGTGAACCAAATAGGAACAAAATAGGACAACATAAAAAATTAACACATGCCCTCTCTACAGTTTTTGTCATACCTTTATAATAAATTATTTGGATATTATCTCCGGAATACAGGCATATAATTTTTTAAAAAGCATCTATTCAGAAAATTTGAATTTTTGCTTGTCAAGTCCAAATGTTATTTTATTTGTCAAGATCATAATTCTGCCATTTAAAAAAAAAACTTGAAAAGTATGGGAACAAAAGGTTTATGTGAGCTCATAAATGAAAAGAAACATTGGAGTAATTAAATGCTTTTTATAAGTGTGGTTTTATATACTTAAGCTTTGTTATAAAACATAAAGCATTGAAATGAATGAATTGTAGCCCATGTGCTAGCCTCTTGTTTGTTTTAATGGCAATTCACTTGTAATCCCTTTAAAGAAATTTGATTTGATATATGTCAGAATCAGAACTTTGATTTACTAACTGTATACTTATTGTAATCGTCTATCTTCATGGTAGAAATTTGTAACTAAAATTAAACAGTCCAACAATTCTGACATCATATGGGAGTGTAAAATCTCTGTTAATATAGTTACTGCATTTTTTAAAAAATATTTCTTTGTTATAATGTTAGGAAAAATAAAAAATAACTCCTTATTTTTATCAAATTTTCTATTTTTACAGCCATTTTTTCTTTAGATTTGTCTGAGTGATTGCTTAACCTGGGAAATGGTTCTTTATGGATAATCTGTTCTTTTGAACTGCTTATTACAAAAGGCTAGCAAAATACTGCC